TACTATCAGGAGTTGGTTTGGGCGTAGCAGTGTCGATGATGCCAGTGAGAGGCCGCCTAGGATCTCTACCCCAATGGAGCCAACAGGGTGTGAATCCAGTGGAGGTGTGGATAGAGGTGTTGTACATTAGTTGAGCCCTGGAAGACAAACATTTGTCCCAATCCTATTGATCTGGTGTGATTACAGGTCTCAAGTTCTCTCAACAGCTGGAACAGGATCTGGTGCATCAGCTCGGCTTGTCCATGGCCTTAGGATGCCTGCTTAAAGTCATGTCTAATGTACAGCGGAGATGGTCTTTGCAATTAGACTGCCACTTTTCGCCGCAGAATCGTGGGTCTCTATTGCTGATAATGGAGGTCGCTTATCCATGGGCACTCACCCACCTCTCAGAGAAGATCTCTCTAATTAGAGGAACTCTCGCCTCAGCTGGCAACAGAATGAACTTTGTATACTTAGAGAAACAATCGACACATACCATAACCTGTCTCATCCCACGAGGGGTAGTCTTGTTGAGGCCAGTAAAGTTGACAGACACTGACTCGACAGGACCATCGAGGATAGGCAACGGTTTGAGAAGTTCCATATGGAGGTCGTCTGTAGACCTTGTTCCTCTGGCACATCTCACATGTTTCAACGTAATTTAGGACATCCCTTTTTTAGGTATGACCAGTAGAACTGTTGGACCAGGGCCACGTACGTCTCCGTGAATCCAAAATGCTTGCAAGCATCACGAATGGCAGAATGAGATGGGTCTTGATCTTGCAGTCATCAGGGATGCACAAACGTTCCTCTCCTCGCTGATTGTGTACCGTGAGCCTAAAGGCAGGGCGTGCACTGGTTCAGAGTTGATGTCCATTTGCAACTTCCTAAGGATGGGGCCGAAGATGGGTTCCTAAGGCAACGCATCTGCGGTGGCCTCCCTCATGGAATCCCGGAAGGAGTAAGAGTACACAATGGCAGCAAAGGTGTCAGGTCTATGTTATGAACATGATTGCCCGGTGAAATTTTGTCAACGCTCACTCACAGGAACTCCCGTACACGCCCATACATGCACAAAAGGAAGGGGAGAGGTAGTGGAGTGTCACACCGCCCAACCGAAAGAACGCAGCGGAAAACTGGCATAATACACAACACAGTGGATTCTCTCCACCAAGGTCCCAACAATCATTCATAGAAGACAACCGAGAGATCACAGCCAGAAATCATTGAAGAGATGACAACTCAAACACAATATTAAAACTGTTTATTAAACTTAGAGCATCGTTCAACTGAATAACCTCAGAACCCTATTGCGCTACCGCTCAACCTCACACACTTTGAACAGCTAAAAATAGCACCAGAACCCCAGGTAACACCCAGCGCCACCCTGACATCCGACTCAGTGGCCTGCGGCAGTATGAAACAGGCTCCCAGAGCCAATCGCCACTCAGATGATGAGGAAGAAGCCAGCGCCAACAGTCTCTGATAAAGATGAAGTCCAGACGATGATAATCTCTGAGAAGATGCAGCTAGAGTTGCATCACCACTGGGACCCTACTCCTGAAGAGGGTCAGCAGTGCACCACGTGCTCCGACGCATCAGACCTCCAATAGCCCAGGCCGCTTTGACTCCTAGAGAGTCAGAGCAGGCAGCGTTGACCCCAGTCTGGTCAGCGCTCTGCAGGTTCGGCTATGTTCGCTGTCTCCCACACATCAATCAGTCACCACGACCTGATGCTGCGTGCGCAGCAACTTCCTCCACAAAGTGTTAACTGCCAAAAGCCCTTAGGGCCTGTCTGTCCTAGGGGTAGCCCGGGTCTGCTATTCGCAGTTAGCGTGACTGTAGGAAATTTGAGTTAGTACTGGGCCTATATTTTTCCATATTTACAGATATGTCCCTCACAAATTTCCTTACAGGTAGGTCTCTCAGTTAGCCCTCAGTCAAACAAAATTATGAATCTGTCCCTACCTATGGTACAGCCTCGTCAGAGAGAGGCTACAAGGAACCTGGAACCAGCAAGCCATTGCATCTATGAGAAAGTGCATCTGCAACCCTGCTATGGCAACCCTTCTTGTGCTTCAGTTCAAAGTCAAATGCATCGATGAACTGAATGTTCCTTCCTAATTTATCATTTAACTCCCCTTGGGTCTTCATCAACAAGAACCGTATGAGACAACTCCATCCATTGCAACCCAAATAGAAGAAGAATGAAACACGAGAAGAAGAAGAAAGAAGGAACGAGGAAGACGAAGAGGGAAAAACACAAGCTGGAACCAATGCCATCTCCCTCCTTCTGTCGCCTCCATCACCACTCAAGAACAACAACAGCAACATCGCCACCAGCACCAGCACCAGCACCATCTCCAGCACCAGCACCAGCACCAGCACCAGCAACGGCAGCAGCAGCAGCAACAACAACAACAACAACAACAACAACAACAACAACAACAACAACAACAACAACAACAACAACAACAACAGCAACAACAACAACACAACAATAATAATAATATAAAATAAATTAATGATAAATTGATAATATTAACAATCAACACAACAACAATGAATGAATGAACCAGAATCAATGTCCGACTGTCCTCTTACTGCCAGGCTTGGAAATAGTTCTCCTCTAGCTCTCTTCACTTTCCTTCTACCTTGGTAATATGGCTACTGGCTATGGCAGAAGAAGAGAGGGGCTGCTAGAGAAGGGGAGACCTAGGTACACATCTCTCTCTCTCTCTCTCTCTCTCTCTCTCTCTCTCTCTCTCTCTCTCTCTC